CTTGGCTACTGTGAATAGTGCTGCTGTGAACTTGATTGTGCAAATATTTCTTAGAGACCCTGCTTTCAAATCTTTGACAAGTGGGATCTCTGTTCTAATTTTAAATGTTTTAAAGAAATGCTATAGTGTTTTTCATAGCGGTTGCACTACTTTACATTTCCACTAACAGTGTACAAGGGTTCCAATTTCTCCACATTCTTACCAATACATGTTAATTTCTTTTTATTTTTATTTTAACTTTTTGGATGGTATCCATCCCCATGGGTGTGAGGTGTCGCGGCATCTTTTAAAAGCCCCCTGGCATTCTGCGCAGGCCAGGTGTGTGAACCACTTTCTTAGCAAATCTTTGTTTAGAGACTGCACCTGTGTCCGCTTTAGGAATCAGTAAGAGAACATAGAACCTTCTCTCCAATCCAGTATTTCTTCAAAGATAGAGGTTTGTATGCAAAAGCTACCTTATCAAGTTAACTAACTAGTTGTATTGAATTTGGATTCTTTGTAGCTTAGAATTGTTAGTTTGTGATTCTATCTTGCACATTTTTTTTCTCTGTGGAAGTATTTATTATTATAATTTTTAATTGTTAATAAATAAGCATAACATAAAATTAACCATCTTAAACCAGTTTAAGTGTACAGTTCAGTGGCATTAAGTACATTCAGATTTTGTGTAACCATCGCCACCATTCATCTCCAGAACTTTTTCCATCTTGCAAAACTGAAACCGTAAATCTATTAGTCAGTAATTCTCTATTTCCTCTGCCTCCCAGCTCCTGGCAACTACCATTCTACTTTCTGCTCATAAGTTTGACTACTCTAGATATCTCATACATGAAACCATTCTGTATCTATTTATCATAAAAGTGAAATCATATAGTTTTTTTTAAAAAAATATATATATATATTTTATTGATTTTTTTACAGAGAGGAAAAGAGAGGGATAGAGAGTTAGAAACATCGATGAGAAAGAATCATCGATCAGCTGCCTCTTGCACATCCCTCACTGGGCATGTGCCCGCAACCAAGATACATGCCCTTGACCGGAATCGAACCTGGGACCTTTCAGTTTGCAGGCTGACGCTCTACCACTGAGCCAAACCGCTTTCAGCCATATAGTTTTGTTTTTGATGGGCTATTTCAAATAAAAATTTTGTGCAATATTTAAACAATATTTAATTAACACTTATGGAGTGTCCTTGGAATAGAATGCTATGTATCATCAAGTCTAGATGCATATTCTCTCCTTTTCACACACTTTTTGAACATATCTGAAGGCAACTTAGCATTGTATAATAATTTAATTGATAGAGTTTTTGTTTCTTGCACATAAAGTAATGATACATCTTATAATTGATGGGAACTTATTTTCAGTGACAGTAAGGTAGGTGATTTCTGTAAGGCAGAACAATTACCTAGAAAACATTCATTTATGGATGCCCTTACCATTTCCAGACTGTAAATGTTTTAATTTAACTAAAGAAGAGCAAAGCTGTTTGGTGTCATTAATCAGTACATTCGAATTGTTACTCTGAATGATTATGCTTCATTTATTTTATGTCAGAATGTTTTCCACACAATAATAGCAAATAAAAGTATGCCATTAATTACACTTGAGCAGCTCATACATGTGTGGAGATATATATATATATATATATATATATATATATATATACACACACACACTTTTTTTTTTCCATATCATCACACAATGAGTGAAATTTAACACAAGGAAATATTATTCCTTACAAAAGAGTTGAAGATTTAATTAAATAATAATATTAAATTCATAACCATTTATATTTGTGCCTTATAACAGTTTTAAATAATGCTTGAAAAAGTTTGGAGAAACATTTACATATAACTGTGTTTTCTTTTTCTAAATGAAAAGCATTTTAATAATATGGTTTTTATCTTTGGGAGGTAATAGTTAACACGCTTTGGGGAAAAGTGTGACTACTTTTTTGAAATAGGATCTTTTACTTTGCAGAACTTCATTGTGATGGGATTTCTGAAAACCATTTAATTACTATAAAAAGTTACAATTCTCTGCATGGAATTTTGCATTTGCCCCTTTACTGGAAATATGGACCCATACTGACAAGAATTATGATGTCAGACTACTCTTGTAGTTGTCTGAACTCCATGATCCTCAGCGATGCTCCGTTTAGCTTACCATTTCTCCTGGCCAGCAGGTCATTTGTCAGGAAATTGAAAAACAAGTGAACAAACAAAATCCACTTGCAGTATATAATCGCAATATTATAAAAACACACTGTATTTAGCTAAGTCCAAAAGGCAGAAGAAATTAGCTAGCCACCAGTTTGTTTCATCAGCTGCCCTTATTTTTCAGAATAAATTAAAGGATTCTCTCTAATAAATTAAAGTGGGTGGAGAACATTTTAGAGATTCTTGGAGAAAGTCATAGTCTCTCTCTAAACTCTGTCCCCTCTCTTTTGTAACAAAGCCAAAATAGTTTTAATTCTATTTTTTTTAAAGCTCCAAACCATTTCAAATGGATTTTTAAGCGCTGCTTCAGCTTATTCTTTTAGTGATCTTCTGATTTATAATTTTTATTGAAATTTTGAGTAATTGGTCAGATCTAGGAATTCTGATTATTAGGCCCATTTCATTTTCACTACATCACACTTGGTGATTCACTAATAATCGCATTTCATCATCTACCCCAATTATATCATTCCTTTAAGTATTTTAACATTAATTTTTATAGTTTCAATTTTTTACTCTATGTTGTGACTTAAAAAGCTGTTGAACCCCAGATTCTGTTAATATTGAAAGCACTCTTGATTTTAGGAGGATGTGAAAAAGAAAATGAGATTTAGCACTGAAAATTATTTACATTAGTATTTTGTGGAATATACAATAGTAGTCCATGTACAATTATGGGGAAAAATTCATTTTAAAGTATTTTAAAACTATACTTGAACATTATTTTTTAAAAATAAAAAATAGTTTTTATTGATTTCAGAGAGAAGGGAGAGGGAGAGAGATAGAAACATCAATAGTGAGAGAGAATCATTGATCGCCTGCTTCCTGCATGTCTCCCATTGATCGCCTGCTTCCTGCACGTTCCAGCCTGCTACCTGAGCATGTTCCCTTGAAGGGAACCGAACCTGGGACTCTTCAGTCTGCAGACCGAAGCTGTATTCACTGAGCCAAACCAGCTAGGGCAACATTCTTTTATATAGAACAAATACAATATAATTTTAGATATAATTCATATACTATACTATTCACCTATTTTAAGTATGCAATTAAGTGCTTTTTAGTACATTCACAGACTTGTATAGCGATTACCACAATTTTATAACATAAGGAAACCTATTTTCAAAAATATAGGTATTCAAGGACATCTGGGTTATTTGTAGTTTTTGGATGCTACAAATAGAGCTGCTTAAAAAATAAAGTATGTGTCATTATAACAAAATAATTAATCTTAAAATTAATGTCAGAACCATGTGTTTAAAAACCTTTAATTATACTGTAATTATTTCTCAGCTATTTAGAGACATTTTTGCCAGTGTGCTGAGCTGGAAAATTTTACCAAATGTAAAAAATTTTTTCTTTCTTCTCTCTCTCTCTCTCAATCAGTGTCTTAGTTTTCTTCATTTTTGTTTTTGAAAGTTGGTCAGAAAAGAGAAATGGATGATGTTTGCTTAAACAGATGAGTTTTCTATATTATTGTAAGGGCCATAAACACGTGTGGTCATTAAATGTAGGCTAGATATCTGTTTTAGTTTATCAAGTTCACGCGGATCCTGGGTAGGAAACTTATTACTTATTGAACAGTGGTTCTCATTATTTGATTCAGATTATAGTCACAGGAGTATTTAAAAATATTAATACATGCCCAGCCAGCATGGCTCAGTGATTGAGTGTCGACCTATGAGGGCACATGCCCCGGTTGTGGGCTTGATCTGGTAGAGGGTGTGCAGGAGGCAGCCGGTCAGTGATTCTCTCTTATCATTGATGTTTCTGTCTCTCACCTTCTCCCTTCCCCTCTCTTTAAAAAATAAATTAAAAAATATAAAAAAACACTAGTACCTTTCCCTAAACTTCAGCAATGCAACTTAATTGGTAATTTAATGTGGCATGGGACTCAGATGCCAGTAGCTAGCAAATACCTGCTCTGTAGAACCTCCTTCCTTTCCTTTCTTTTCTTTCTTTCCTTCATTCGACATTTAAGTGCCCAATGTCTGTTCCAGCACTGTTTTATACCCTGAGGATATATTTGAGTTGGCAAAAGATGCATAATAAATATTTGTTGGATTGAATAAAATCACAGCTGAGCCCTTTTGGCATACTTCTGTGCTATGCCTCAAATCCTTTGTAGAAATGATGTCTTTTTGATATCCAGGAATATTTCAACATTGCCTGTCATTTCCTCATTGCCCGTTTCCTTCCCCTTTTATACTGGGGGACACCCCACTTCTAGCCGGGCTTAACTCATCAAAATCAAGTTGGTCAGCAATCAGACCTCACTTCTCCATGTGTCACAAACTTACCCGGGTTCCCCCACCAACTGAGTTTTGTGTAAGCTCAGTGTTAGATGAGAGAGACAGGGGACACCCTGACTTGTAAGTCAGAAGAGGCTGTCCAAAGAGGACCTGTGCATTCTGACCTGACAGGGAGGTGCCAGCCTTCTACTCACCCAGCTGTATATCTCCTTTCTTGGGAGCAGGAAGGAGGAGGTGCGGTGGTGCGATGCCTCACATGTTTATACATTCGCACTGGGTTGATCATCACTCCTGTGCTTCCCTGCAGTTGCTAGAATATTTCAGAGTTGACTTTACTTATCAAAGGGGGGAAAAGTGCTTAGAAGTAGTAGCAAAGTGTTCATGAGTGTGCTTGTGCATGTGCTCAAATACACATTTAAGATTGAGAAAACAGTAGTAGAGGAAGCAGTTTTAATGTTTAATCGGTGATCGTGTGTGTGTGTGTGTGTGTGTGTGTGTGTGTGTATTAGTTATTTTTTTATTTTCCAGCTCCTCGGTATGAAGAAAATACCTTCTGAATAAGAGTAAGCGGGTATGTGTTGCTGGTTTTTGTATCTTGCTGTTGTGGTGCTTCTAGTGGAAATACAAAGTGGAGGTAGAAAGAAAGACTGCAAGGTTTACTAATAAGGCATTCCCTCTGGTTGCGTCTCCATTGTCATTCTTGGCATTATTTAATTTATATGTGCAATAGTGAATAATACTAATTAGGATTTATATATGCAGTAGTGAATACTATTGACTAGTCAAAACAGGTCCCATGTTTTTAGGAAAATAGTTTAAGGAAAACATTGTGCTTTTACCTTATAAATGAAGTAATTATAGTTTAGCTAGTTTAGTGGTTCATTCCTCAACCCTCAATGTTTGAACTTTTTATTTGGGCCTTTTCACTTTGCAAATAAGTTATTCTTTGGGTGTGTATGATTGGTATATGTCTTTTAAAGAATTTTGTTTGGAAACTGTTAGTATCCCAAATGAGTTACTCTGTGGCCACCATTAGAACAAAGCTTCCTAATTTCAGTGTCATTAAGTAAGCAGCTGGAGCAGCTGAATTCAAAAGAACAAGCATAGTTATTGACTGTTTTCTTTAAAAGCAGCCCAAACAAAGCATTTCCTTTAGCAACATTGAGCAGGATTTGGAACTTCCTATGCTTCCAAAACATCTTAGAAAGGTTTGCGGAAGTGCAAAGGTCAACATTATTGCATGAGATTCCTCTCCTCCACTTCCAATCCATGGTAATTGACTTCATTGAAAAATCTTGTATTTTAAAATCATAAAATCATGTTAAGAATCTCTAAGCAAAAAAAAACCACAAACAAAAAGATACAAGAAATAGCCAGTGGAAGTACATACTCATATCAGTTATTCCCAGACTAGAGGCCCAATGCATGAAATTTCGTGCAAGAGTAGACCTTCCTTCCCCCAACTGGCACCAGCTACCCTCTCATACCCGGGACCTGGGCTTCCCTCCTTGGGCCACTGGCCACTGGCAGGGACCTGGGCTGGCTTCCCTTGGGATGCCCACAACCACCTGGGACCCTGGCTGGCTTACCCAGCCGCCTGCAGAAAACTGGAACCCCGGCTGCTTTCCCTGTGGCCCTGGCTTTGCCAGGAAGGACTTCTGGAAAACATCCAGTTTAATTAGCATATTACCCTCTTATTATTATAGATAATTGTTTTTAATGTCAGGGTAGTGGGATGATTCAAATGCTGCTTAGTTTAAGAAAAAGAAAGTTTCTGCCAAAATGGGTTTGGTTCAGTGGATAGAGCATCAGCCTGCAGACTGAAAGGTCCCAGGTTCCATTCTGGTCAAGGGCAGGTACCTTGGTTGTGGGCACATCCCCAGTAAAAGATGTGGAGAGGGCAGCTGATCCATGTTTCTCTCTCATCGATATTTCTAACTCTCTATCCCTCTCTCTAAAAAAATCAATAAAATATATTTAAAAAAAAGAAAAAGAAAAAGAAAGTTTCAAAAGTTGTAGCTTATATTACAGTGATCATGTGCTATTTTTTAAAATTTATTTTATTTTATTTTATATTTTATTGATTTTTTACAGAGAGGAAGAGAGAGGGATAGAGAGATAGAAACATCGATGAGAGAGAGTCATCGTTCAGCTGCCTGGGGATGTGCCTGCAACGAAGGTACATGCCCTTGACCGGAATCGAACCCGGGACCTTTCAGTCCGCAGACCGACGCTCTATCCACTGAGCCAAACCGGTTTCAGCTGAGCCAAACCGGTTTTGGCTGAGCCAAACCGGTTTTGGCCATGTGCTATTTTTTACATGTTATTTCATTCTTGTAGGTAGTTAAGGGGAGTAATCTTTTATAAATGTCTATAAACGTTTTCAAAGTGGTAGTGGTCAGGAGTTGGCCAGAATTCATTCATCTATTTTTTCATAATTATCATACTTTCATTCGTTTTTATCACAATCATGCTTTCTTTAGTTTTTCTTACTTTTTGTTGGGATATAACTGACATATATCATTATATTACTTTCATGTGTACATGATTAGATGGATATTTATATATAATTATTGTGAAATGATCATCACAAAAATATACATAACATTAATCACCAAACATACTTACAATTTTTTCTTGTGATGACTTTTAAGATGAACTCTTAAAAACTTTCAAACACACAATGCGGTATTATTAAGTATAACCATCATGCTGTATATTACATCCCCGGGACATTTTTACAAATAGAAGTTTGTAGCTTTTGTCCACCTGTACTCATCTTGCTAATCCTCACTCCATGCCTAATTTGTCTTTTTAGTGAGCATCTATCATATAGCAGACACTCTGTTAAGTGCTCATAGGTACTAAGGAAACCATATTGATATGTAAACAGTTAAGTAATAATACAGATGGAATATAATTTGATAAGAAGGTAAGTGTTGCAGATCTGCTTTCATCTCTTTTATTTCCAGGTAAATTTATAAATCCAAGTTAAATTTCTTTCGTGAAAGAACTTGAGGGTTCATAAGGAGGCTTGAACACTGTCCCTGCTTTCTGTAACCTAAGTTTCTGTGATAGGTTGTCCAGTTGTTCCCAGAAGAAAGAAACTTTAGGAGATGCTATTTATTATATTACATTGTGTTTTACCATCTTCTGTTAAAACATGAAGATTTTTTTCATTCTTTTCTATTGTCATTGATTTAAAATAATATTAATCACTATACAGGGTCAGACCCATGGTCATTCCAGGGGAGTCTTGTTTCTGGAGGCACCATGATGAGTTTTTTACATAGTCCACTAATGTCTTAATTAAACTTCTAGTTTCTGTTGAAGCCATTTTAATTTGCCATCTACTAACTTTTAAAAACTTTATAGAACTTTAAAAAATTTAATCTCACAGATTAAGAAGTTATTTTTAAGTAGGTTTATTACCTAACATGGAATAGTGATTTATCCTTTTCTTTATCTTATTTACATTTCTCTCAGTTTTTAATGAGATACAACTGAGTGTACTGCTGCCAGAATTAAATGAACAAATTGTGTGATAAAATCCATGGCAATTATGATTCCATAGATTATTTGGTTTATGTTTCTAGACTGAAACACAATATTATCTACACTAATAAAAGAGAAACATGCAAATTAACCATCACTCCATTATACTCACAAGCCACACCCATCAGCTAATCAGGGGTGCATATGCAAATTAACCCAGCCAAGATGGCAATCGAACACAGAGCTGGAGCAAGCAGGAGGCTTGGGTTGCCCTGGCAATGGAGGAAATCAAGCTTCCCACCTGCCCTGATCAGCCCTGGCCTTTGCTCAAGGCTACAAAATTTCAATTATAAAATATAACTAAATCCCAACAAAAATGCCAGCATCCTTGGAGCTGGAGTTGAGCAAGAGGCTTGGGTTGCCCCCCTTGATGGAGGAAGCAAGCTTCCTGCCCTGGCCAGCCTGGTCTCTGCTCAAGGCTACAAAGTTTCAATTATAGAAGATAAATAAATCCTAGATACTTGCTTCCAATGGGCCCTGGCCTCCGCTCAAGGAGGTGCTGGGGGGGAAAAAAAGAAATGGAAAAAAAGGAGGGGCTGGGAGTTTGGGTTGACAGGGGGTGATCAGGCCAGGATGGGAAAGCAGCCAATGGGGGTAAGCAGACCATCAGGGGGCTAGATGAGGGTAAGCAGGCCATCATTGGGGGTCAGTTGGAGGTGATAAGGACAGTGGGGGGAGGGGGTTTGGAGTAAGCAGGCCAGCAGGGGGCAGTTGAGGGTAAGCAGGCCAGTGGGGAGGAATGATGGGGGCGAGTAGGCTAGCAGGGGGGCCAGTGGGGGTGATCTGGCTGGTGGGGGGACATTTGGGGGCAAGCAGTGGTGGCAGGGGGCAGTTGGGGGCGAGCAGACCAGCAGGCAGAGTGGTTAGCAGGGGCAATCAGGCAGGCAGGCAGGCAGGCAGGTGAGTGGCTGGAGCCAGCAGTCCTGGATTGTGAGAGGGATGTCTGACTGCCGGTTTAGGCCTGATCCCTGTAAACCAGCAGTATGACATCCTTAGGGGTCCCAGATTGGAGAGGGTGCAGGCCGGGCTGAGGAATACCCCTCCCTATCCCCTGTGCATGGATTTCATGCACAGAGCCACTAATTTTTATATAGCCTTCCATTCTCAGGATCATTACATTGTATGTAGGCATCATCTTTAACATTATTATTTATTAAGGTCTGGATGGTTAATACTATGACGGATATCCTAACTTTGTAAAGGTTATATTGTTTTGTTACAGTTCTATTTTGGGTAATGTTTGTATTTTTATGTTTGTTAAAAGTGTATTAGAGAATGATTTCGTATGAGTTATTTATAGTGAATTTGGGTCCATTTCCTGTTTATTAGCAACTTGCCAGTGAGTGATTCTATAAACATATAAACTGATATTTTTTTCTATCATGAATCCTTACTTATTTTTTTAGTAAACCATTTTCCTAATCTCATGACTGGTCTCTTTACTTCCTGTATCACCTCCATTCATTTTCTGAACTGTTTGGAAATATAACACACTAAAATACAGGTATGATTGTGTCATTCTTTTGTTTGAAAAATAATGATTTCTTTTAGTTTATGTTCTAAAATGCAACTCTGTCCCTCGTGGTGCGGCTCCCACCCTGCCTTCCCAACTTCTCCACATTGGGAACCTTTGGTGTCTGGGACCTGTGGCGCTTCTTAGTGCTGCCCTACTTTGCACACGTGCTCTGTCTAGATCACCTGAACTCACGCTCAGGCCTCATGGAAAGTCTCCTGACACTATCACTCACCCTGTTGGCCTCCACATCAAGTTTGTTATTTTCATTTTGACATTATACATTTGCTTGTGATGCTTAGTATAATGGATAGCTATTATTTGTTAGCATATCTTTCTATCCCATTAAATTTTGACTTGTTGGAGTACAAAAACCTTTTTTTCTCTCTTTATATTCACAATCTCTCTTATAGTACCTGGCACATAGTAGGTATAATATTAAAAAGAGAGGAACCCTTTTGACAAAAGAAATAAGAATCAATAGTTGGTCAGTTAATAAAAAA